TATAATTAGCACGCTGACATCTGAGCAACAGTGTTTCTCTGCTAGCTTTATTTAGGAGTGGGAATATTCTTTTTCTTCTTACTTTGGATAAACTTAAGAACCCTCCTCAGCTTCCTTGTTATCCTGGACACAACAGCTTTTTAATCCTTAGAATGTCCATCTGGACACAGAAATACCTGGGTCCACAGGTTATCTGGAGGTACTCTGTCCTCTAAGGTATATACAAAGCTGGCTCACGCCCTCCCTTGCGTCCCCATTCTATGGGTTACTTAAAGGTCAGCGTCCCCCTTTCACTTTTCTAAAATTCCTGGGAGACCTAAGTCTCGAGGTCTCCTCTGACTCTTGTTCCTGTGAACTGTCTTAGTTCCAAATGGCCTCCCTCTCTCCCTCCTGCTGATCCTTTTCCCCGTCAACCCAGCTACAGAATTCAGCACTTGTTCTTGTTCAGTGGTGTTCAGGGTTGGGAAGGAATCCCCAAATGCAATGCGTCCAGCTGACTTCAAAGAAAGTTTGGGGGAAATAGAAGGAATTACCTCAAAAACAATGCAGCCACGGTAAAATTAGTATCCGATTCTCCCACCATTCCCTGCCCTGCATGGGACTCCAGACTCCCACACTGGGCTCGTTCCCTCCCTCTGGCTCCCACCTCCTACGCGTAGCCAAAGCCGGCGTCCTAGTCTCTCAGAGAGAGAAACTCCTTTTCCAGCCCTTTCCCTGATTCTGGATAACTGTCCTCGCATCTTAGGATACCACACTAAAGCTTTAGAATTAGAATTTATAAGCATTTGTCTCATTAAGATCCCAGGTAACCAATACTCTTTCTCCCCAGTGTTAGGTCAGAGGGTGGGGATTTCTGTTTGTTTTTAATATTAATTGGGAAAAACTCCCTGGGAGAACGAGGTGTTGCATGTTAATAGAATAAAGGATGTCAAGGAAAATTGAACCAGTCACCACTATTTATTGAGTGACTAATATATTCCAGGCGCTGAGCTAGGAGCTAGGGCACCAAGGAAAACAAATCAGACACAGTTCTGTTCTTGTGAAGCTTACAGTTCTAGTGGGAAAGAGAAATATACACCAAACAGTGACACAAGCAAAATGAAAGTATACAATGACAAGTGCCAGGAAGGTGGGGTGCAGGTGCTGGGAGAGGAATCTCCTACCGAGAGGGAAAGACTGGGCGGATCTCCAGAAGGACGTGACCACAGAGCTGTGATCCTAAGGCCCCGTGGGGGTTAACTTGGGGAGAGGAGGAAGAGCAGTCCAGGTCCAGGGAGCAGAGGGGGCAGCCCACACGACGCTGCGCACCGACAGAAACCTCTGGCAGACCACGAGAAGGCCTGCCGGGCTGGGGCTGTGAAAACGAGAGGTGCTGTGGGAAAAGATGAGACTGGGAGGGCTGAGCATTAAAAAGCTTCAAGAGGAGGTGGGGGTGGGTGCTGGGCTCAGATCTGCATTTTGAAAAAACTGGAGACCAGCAATTAATATGATTATTCATAGTAGTAGTGTCCTACCGATGTGTGTGTGTTTTATGGTAATTTTTAAACTAATTGAATACACACACACACACACAAGTAGTTCAAACTATCACACAGTGCTAGTACTATTGGACTTAAAAAAATAGTGCTCCTCTGCCTATCCCTCCCCTGACCCCTTGTGCCTTTCACTAAGGACCCCTTCCTCCACTCTTAACTATTCATCTGGTGTTCACTACCTGCCCCCTTTAACATAAGGTGCTTAAAGTGCTATTTACTTTCCAGTTCTAAATATTGTTCACTTCCTACTGTGGAAGAAAAGAACTTCTTGATTTTATTTCACGTCCCGCCCCACTCCCCTTAATTCATTTCTTATCCTGCCAACAGCAAACAATCAAAGCATTGCCAGCGTTTCCTTTTTATTCTTCCCATATAAGAAAAAATACACGGACTCATCACCTGAAAACCCCGTCCATCGGGAAGGCCAGAACCGGCACATTCCACTATAAATGTACACCTTTGTGAAGACAAAACTACCTTCGCTGCACATCCGTCGTGAACATATTTGTAGCAGTATGGATTTTTATCCTTTTGAGTAGAAACTGCTAAATTTTTAAGCTGGCATAAGAATATTCAAGAAAATCAGTTGAATTGTATGTGCTGGTTTAGAGACATAGTAAACTTACTTATCCTGGGAGGCAAAAATAATGTTTGTAAGACAGTGTCTTGGAAGAGGCATGTAAGAAAGGTCATTTGTTGAGGATGCTCCGTATCATCTGTTGATGGAGTAACAAGACAGGCCTCTCACGCTGCTGGGAGTGTGAGCCAGAAACCAAGTGAGATCTCTTTCTACTTCGGCATCCTTGTCCACCTAGATACTACTCTGAGTAACACTGACTCACCCTTTAGTCCGAGGACCACTGGATCAGAAGTGGTGGCTCTCTGGGTGGTGGAATTAGGAGTAGTTGTCTTCCTTTTTTGAATCTTTAAAAAAAAATTCTCTACCAAGCTATATGCTTTTATGATTAAAAGTTCATTAAAAGTATCTTAATGAGGCATGAGTATTAGAAAACAGAACTGACTTGGGGTCTCCTTAGGTAAGTCTAAACACCTTTTGAGAACTGGAAAGTGCATATTTTTTTAAGCTAAAATAAAGTGGGTACTTGTGGACAATCAAAGTCAGTTTAGTGGGATGGGAGTAAAAGATAGAAAATTGTACTGCAACAACAATTTAAATAAAATTTTTAAAAAGTCAGTTTAGGACAAAGAAAATACTCTACTAAGTGTAGATAAGTAATTCATTACCTCAATAATTGTGCGGGGTAAAAACCAGAATTATAATAATTTTGAGAAGTATTAAGGAACAGCATTTCTCAGTGTTCCAAGATGTTCCTTGGCAAAAGAGGATTCAGTGATGGAATACACTCGAGCATCATACTTACTCTAATCCTCACAGAGTTACACAACCATAAACAGATTACAGGCTCCGGGAAGTCCAATATAAGCTTCGTTCTTAATCCTGGCTCCACAAATTCTTGAGTGTATCCTACCACTAAGAACAAATTCTAGGCCAGCAGAGAGTCCAAGAAAAAAATCTCAACTGTGGATGTCCTACACTTGGTCCAACAGATCAGTTCACTCCCAAGTTCCCGTGGTCTCTGAGGGCGTGGCCCACGTACATTAGCAGCTTGATTCCAAGAGCACAGCTCGGAGGAACAGCAAGACCAAGCACCAGGCTCCACACACAGAACTTGTGTAGGAACTCTGTATTTACAGGTGTTTACTTACCTGTCTCTGCTTCTTAGACTGTGAGCCTAGCCTGGAAATATCTTCTATTCATTTACCTCCTCCCAATACAGTAAAGCCTGGCACTCGGCTGGTCCTCAGTAAATGGTGCACCACCAAACCTGGTCATTAAAGTTTTTTTGGACAAACACAGTAACAAATGGACGAGGCACAGGTCCTTAGCTTTAAGTCCTAAAGTTTGCCCAGTCATGATGTCAGTGGGTGTTTCTAAGAATGTGGAGGCAACTAAGACAGTCTTCCCCCTCGAGAGCTCCGTGCAGCGGAGGTACCAGTGTTAGCCGTTCCTGCTGTACAGATCCGGCCGCACAGCAAGTGTCTAATAAATGCTTGTTTGAGTGGAGCTCAGACACCAAGTTACACTTGCAGTCCGGTCAGACTCGGGTACTTTGGCAGGCCGACAGCCCCGAGCAGGGCAGAATCAGGCCCTTCTGAAGTCTGCTTCCGAATGACTGAGGTCTTGAGTACTAGACCCATTTTGATTATCAATACTCTAAGGACTCCAGGACCGTCCAGGAGTCAGAATTTTCTACTAGAGAAGCCCCAGAACCCACAGGAATTTAGCAGTTTACGCCACGGCAATATTTCTAAACATGCACTGGCAACGCTCTAGGTTCTTGTGGTGGGTGGCAGCAGGGAGAGCACGGCGGCGACGGGAGACTGAGGAGGGGGCTGGGCAGGGTCGGCAGGCCTCGGCGCCGTGAGACTTCTCAGCGCCGTGAAGCCACGCGCCACGCTCCCGTGACGCAGTCTCAATCTTCACAAGGATCTCGTGAGGTAGGTACTATTTTTCCCACTTTATTTATTTACTTTTTATTTGTCCCATTTTAGCGATGAGCAAGCAGAAGGTCGGCGAGAGTCAAGTAATCTGCTCCAGACTACACAGCTACCACCGGAAGGTACACAATAGGACCCTGAAATGAGGTCTTTCGGGCACCACAGACTGGTTCATGACTGTTTTTAATATGCACATGTATATATATATCACTGGGCACCAGGACACTGCCACAGAACACACAGCATAAAAGGTTTCCCAAACTGATCTGATGAGGGAACACTGTTGAATGAATCAGCACTTGAGACTATCTTTCCATGTAACCCACTTTGAGAAATATTGTGGGGCAAATGAGTCAGAGGTACCCCAGGGAAGAAGGGAGGAAGCAGGCAGCTCAGAAGGAAAAGCTACTCTAGAAAGAACATTTATTAAAACTGTGCTCAAAGAACTATTGATAGGAACATGTAAATTAAACTCTGTTGAATAAATATAATTTCTTTACCTACAGATTCATAAGCTCCAGCTCATGGCTCATTTCTCTCAAATAATATTGGATACCAATCAAAGATAACCTTTTTATTCTTTCTTTAAAACTTGCAGATCCATGTGATACTCCAGTTCCAACTCATTCACTTCGCTAGTTCTTTAGGATTTGCTGTAGAATTCGATTTATCTAATAGTTCAATGCATTATGTCATTCGACTTTGATAAAGTGTATTCACACTGGGGGTATAAGTTTTAATTTGCTATGTATCTCAACAGGCCTGCCACGTGTCCTCTGGGGTGAGACCACTCTCCATCGCAGCAGAAGGCTGACCCCAGCTCTACAGGACCCAGCATCCCTGGCTCCTAGTGGCTACTAAATACCAGCAGTGCTCTCTCCCCACCTCCCAGTCATTTTGGCAAAAAATATCCCCACAATTTCTTTTTTTCCTTTTTCTTTTTACAAAAATATGGACTGCTTCATGAATTTACACGTCACTCTTAGGCAGGGGCCATGCTAGTCTCTGTATCATTCCGATTTCTGTAAATGTGCCGTTGAAGCAGACCGTCCTCGCAATTTCAGAACTCCAACCACGGGAGTAGAATCACCCTCAGCTGAGAACCACAGGTTTGAAGCAAACCAGAAAGTCCAATAACACACTCATTAAAGGATAAACATGTAGCCGGACCCTGCAGTCAGTATTCCAGCAAAGAATTCAAGATTCAACACGCTGGCTTCAATCGTGCATGGCCAGCGTCTCATTATACTTCTCTCTGTTCTGTTAATAACATGAACAGATTCAACACAAACTGCCAAAATACCGTTTTTAGCCAAGAGGGCTAAGTCCAGCGCACTTTTGCCAATAGCAGCAATAAAGCTGGACGGAAGCTAAGCCCAGGATTGCATGGGGCACATCTGAGGCAGCAGCCACAGAACACGAAGTACAAGCGTACCTGAATAGTCTATCGTCTTGTCAAATATGGACTTAAAAAGGATGCTAGCTTTTTTCTTTGTAAAATGATTTATTATCAAAAAGCTTGCTCCCTTTCAATCCTGAGTCAGTTCAGCAGCGAAGCTCCATCATCACCCTTTTTAGGATTGTTGGGACCCAAATAATTTTAAACTAAAACAACAACAAACTTGACAGCTAGTTCAGTAACATATTCAAAGACACGTCAGTGTGCATTTGGGAACACTAGTTCATTTTTTGATCGGAATGCCAATCACCATAAAATCTTCTGCTAGAGTCACTTCTTGGAAGTCGAACACTGATTCGGCTTGCTTTTTCAGTTCTATAATCCCATCTGCTTCTCCTTCTCTGGCCAAGGCAACCGGTTTGTACCTCTGACTGAAGTGAGTCAGAACGAGCCTCTTTGCCTGGCACAGCTTTGCAAACGCCGCTGCCATCCGCGGCGTGCTGTGGCCGTGCTCCTTCGCCTTGTCCATCTGGGCGTCATCCAGGGTGGCTTCGTGGATCAGCAGGTCGGCCTCAAAGCACAGCTTCACTCCTCCGTCACCCACCACCCCGGAGCAGTCACCCAAAATGCAGATCTTTCTTCCAACAATAGGCTTTTTTAAGACATCTTGAGGAGAAATCGTAACTCCATTTTCCAGAACGACAGACATCCCATTTTTCAGCTTCCCGTAGGCAGGACCCGGAGGAACACCTGGTGATGGAGGCAGATAACATCGAGTCACGGGAAGGGGATTTACGACTTGTTACCAGAGTCTGTTTCAACAGCACAGCAAACAGCAAATGGAAAAGGCATCTAATTCTTTTTATAATTTTTATGAATATTTTACTATTTGTGGAAAACCGGAGTATTTATACATTGTTAAAAGTTCCACGCTGGCAATGCTGCAGCACCGAACACACTCCCCAGGCACGTGGGTCAGGCGGGTTTTAAGCGCCTCAGTCCCACAGCATCGTCCCAGTCCAGACAGCGGCCTCGCTGCACTGCGGGGCGCGGGCAGAACAGACGTTCAGAGTGCTGAATATAATATGTTCATCTTTGGGCAAAATTTAAGAATCCACTTAAATAATGACAAGGGACCTACAAACTGAGTAACTTAATAAAAAATTGTTAGAGAGGACTGTTTGGATCACAAGGTCAAGGAGAGTTTCAGGCAGTCATACATAATCAATCTGCATGCATGGAGCAGTTCCACATTTACCAAACTGGGCTTAAATCTCATATTAATCTAGAATAGTACCTGATTATCACTCTGGACAATACCTACAAACAAATAGAAAGTGCTTACTAATTCCAACATAGATCATATTTAAAGTTTCTCAATATAAGAATATTTCCACAGGTTTTCATTTATTTTTTTTAAAGATCATATTTATTTACTCTAAGAGAGAAGGGAAAGGAGAAAGAGGGGGAAACATCGACATGTGACATTGATCAGTTGCCTTTCGCACAACTCTTAACCGGGAACCTGGCCTGCAACCCGGGCATGTGCCCTGACCAGGAACCGAACCAGTAACCTTTTGGTTTGCAGGCCAGCACTCAATCCACTGAGCCACACCAGCCAGGGCTCCACAGGTTTTCAGATAACCTTTGGCCTCCGTTACTTTTCCTCATTATTTTGCTTTTTGTTTTAGTGGGGAAAGGAGGAAGAGGTCGAGTAAATCAGGAAACAACCACACAGAGGACACCATCATGATTTTTAGAGGCCCTGTGCCGGCCATGCCGAGGAAGGCGGTGACTCTGGAGAGCTAGACGCTGCTTCCAGAGGGACGCTGAGGAGCCCCCAGGCATGAAGGCCTAGCAAGGAGGAGGCATGAAGCCGGGGGGGGGGGGGTGGAGGCCAAGCCCCACTTTGTGTGCTTGCTTCCTGTGGTGAAAACTCAGGTATGTAAATGGTTGAGGTGAAGAATTTTGAACACCAAATTAACTTAAGGTAGAGAAGGAAAACCCTGAAAGTAATTGGTTGCAGTTGCAAGATTAAGATATGGCAAAAATTCTCAGGCTAAAGATGTTACTGAAAACATACTTCAGGAGGAAGACATGAAAAAATAAAAGCCTAGACCTAAGACGACCACCACCACCCTGTCAAACAGGAGAGTGCACGCTGAGGACAGGACAGACTACAAATATGAATCGGGGGAGCTGCAGAAAGGGGGCTTCAAACACACGCTTGGGTTTTGCTTGAACAGCACCTTTCAGTCCCAGGAACTTCCCTCAATAAGCAAACTTTGGGCGAAAGAAGTAAGTGGAGAAAACGTCAGTTTTAGGCCTGGGAGACAGGATAGGCAGGTTACTGACACTTATAAGAGCTCCAGTTAACAACGGCTTGACTGGTGAGAAGAGAAAACAACACTTACCGAGGTCTTTCAGTTTCTGTGCATTGAGTTTACCTGGGCGCTTCTTCTCCACGACTGAAAACCCGAAGGAGGGAACTCGGTGAAAGAGGCGAAATGCTTTTACGACAAACTGCTCATCATCGACCAGGAGGTACGAGTTTTCTTCTGAGTCCAAGAGGATAGTTCTCCCTAGCCCCTCTTTGGGAGAGCTGTCTGCGCCCTCCGTGGGGGCCAAGTCTTTCAGCTCTTCTGGCGGACACTGATCTGCTGTGGGCACCAGCTCGTGGACCACGTAGGGGAAGACCAGCTCCGTGTGGGAGAGCTCCATGATTCGCCAGATAAAGTCCCGAAGCCCTGCTGGGCCGTAGATCTCAATGGGCTGCTTGGTGACTGCGGAGCCACTCTGCAGGCTGATGGTGCAGAGGAGGCCGGGGAGGCCGAAGAAGTGGTCTCCATGGAGATGCGTGATGAAGATCTTAGTAATTCTCCCTTGCAGTTGAGGGAGAAAAATAAAATTGGGAATTTTTCAGAAACAGAGATCCATACAAAGCTACTGGAAACATACATAACAACTTTCATAGAAAGCAGTAAAATGAGTTTAGAGTTTTACTTACCACCATAAACTTATTTTAAAAAATATTTTTCTATATTATTCCAGAAGAAATAAAGACAGACTTTATTTTACTTGATGATTTCAATAAGACAACTTTTTTCATAAAACATCTTCAAATTACACAGTGTTACAATATTCAGGGTATTTTTCTATATATCCTCTTGGAAAATAAAAAAGTTACAATAAGGAAGTGCACCAAAATAGTTACTGAAGTAACTAGATAGGCCTCAAGTCTGAAAAGCATCTGACAGTCACACTGCCCCCTACTGCTCCCTCTGAGAATAGCAAATACGTATTTCTAACAAAACAAGTTCCCCTGGCTCCAAAGGACTGGACCAGTGCCTGAACCCAAAACTGCCATTTAAGGAATCTCTGCACTGGACAGAGACTAACCAAGTGAGAGCCTGCATGTCTGAGTGAGGCTCACCGAGGAGGAGGAAAAGGAGGATGATGAGGGAGGGAGGGGCAAGTGAAGAGAGAGAAAGGGAGGTCAGAGACCACACGAGTGAAGAACGGAGAGGGAGGAGGTGGGCAACAGACACTGCAGTGCAGGTCCGAGGGCGGCCCCCCTGCAGTGCTGTGTGGAGGCACGAGGGCAGCCCCTCCCCACCCCCCGCTTCACTCGGAACACAGCAGCTCTTTAGCGCACACTGGGTTAGGCTGGGACCTGACTCACCTGGTGGTGAGTCGACTTTACTGCTGGTATGTGGCAGGGTGCCACATCAGCATTTTTTTGAGATGCACCACAAGGCATTTTAAAAGTAACGATCACAGGGACACATGCTTAGTTTAACAGAGGCTTCTGGTCCAAGCCCATGGACACCTACTTCAAACACCTGCTACCATGAAAGGACAGGACAGTTTACCGACACCGCAAAGGAACAGGGAGAGTTTACTGTAATGCAATCTGTCCCGTGATCTCAGGGCAAAAGTGTTCTCCAAACGAGTCTTCCAGGTACTGCACCAAGCCCGGGCCCATGGCAGAGAATTGGGCAGAGGCTGATTCTGGACCTTGAAAACCCCCAGGAGGCATTCTAGAAGTTTCCTCCATGTGTTCCTTTTTATTTTCTCTTTTCAGTGCTTGTTTTTGCAGTTTTTTGTGTGTGTTTTTTTTTTTTTACTTTTAGAACCCTTGCGATTTCTCTTCCTTCTGCCCGAGCTGACAAGTGTGACTTGAGGTCTCTTCAGGCGGAAGAACTACAAAGGTTGTTGAGTCCTGATCTCCGGGGGCCTTGAAGGGCCATGCCCGACGCTCTGGGCCCCTCCCTCCCTCCTGCTGAACAGGGCCAGACTGAACACCAGGGCACTCTGTGAGCCCAAAGTAAGGGAGACAAAGTACGTAAGAAATTCTTCCCACAGTAGTCACAGTTTCAGGTGAGACAAACATTTCATTTCTCAAGAAACTTGATTTCAGAGGGAGAAGGAATGGAAGGCACGATCATCAAAGGCAAGAGGAAGCTACCAAATGAATAAAAATGCGTGAGTCCCTTTCACTCGAGAACAGGAAGGCACAGGGGACTGTGTCACCGCTGACGGAGTGTAACACTAAGCATCCTCTAAATGGCGATGCAGTTATACGTACCGCCCGAGGAAAGTGTCTGCAACACAGTCTTGTATATGTTGTTCAGTTGAAAAAAAGCAG